CAGTTCGCCTCCTCTAAGGAGGCGTTGTTGCATGGTCCATTCTCTCTTTTTCGTTCTCAGTGCCTTTTAGTTTTCCACCATGCCGTTTTCTTGGGAATTTCCATTGTTATGTATGTGTTGGCATTTTTTACTACTACTACTACTAATTTTTAGTAGTCATTTTTACTACTTCTACTAATACTGGGCTTCTTTGATCCCTTGTAAGTCATTCCGGGAACTTGCTGCTGAACAGTTTGGGTAAGATGCTTCCTAAGAAATCAATCAATCAATCAATCAATCAATCAATCAATCAATCTTTTGTGGGGTGCTTTTGTCTAGAGCAGGCATAAACTGAGAATTCTCAAACTGCCTCTGACCTTCTGGACAGTTCTGAGCAAAATAAGACCAGTGGCCCTGTTGAGGTAGTAGTGGACTAGAAAAGGCCCAATCTGATCACCTTCTGGAGCTAGCCATTATGGGCACCTGAAATCAACATCAGGAGCAGATTAGTAAGTGGCCAGGGCCACGTTTTCACGCTAAGACAAGCCATGGTTCTCCAGGGTTTCAGACGGGGTCTCTGCCTAGAGACACTGGAGATTGAACTTGGGACCTTCTCCATGCACAGCCCATGCTCTGCCACTGAGCTACAGCCTCCCCATTGTGGGAAGGTTTGCTTTAGCAGAGTTAAAGAATCCCCTTTATAAGTTTATGCAGCGATCAGCTTGTTGCTGACTTGTCTGAGTTCTACTAATAAAGATCCCTTCCTGGTTAAAAATCCCCTTGAATCCCTCTTAAAGAATACACACATGAATCTGATTCATGTCAATATAACGCTTTTTTACTCTCAGATTCATTCAGGTTTACAGAACTGGACCTGAAGGCAGGCTGAGGTTACATAACAAGCAAATAAACTATACCAGAGAGAAGTTGGTCCTGAGGAGACTGCAAACTGAGCAGTTACCTTTCAAAAACTACCAGCAACCGACAAACTGGTTGTCACAGCAACCGGTTAGAACATGGAGGCCGTTAGTCCTCTGTCGGAATGTGGCTGCACCTTTACATCCCACACCCAGAAGCCAAAGGGTTAAGACTAGGCGGTCACTTACTGTTGCCGCAGGTGAATTATGTACGTCTTCTTTTTTACTGTAATAATGTAAGTCTGTGTGCTCTGGACAAAACAAAACAAAACAATCAATCAATCAATCAATCAATCAGAAGAGTATGTTGAAACAGTATTTTTTATGAAATGAAATGAACAGTCTCTATTGAAATGTATTCGATGATGGCAGAAAAGTGATGGCAGTGATTGGCTGAGCCTCTTTATCTCAGCAGGACTGCCTGAAGAAGAGCCTGAAAGGCCATGCCTGGCCTCTTTCCACCTGGCTTGGGGTGGGGCCTGTAGGGCTCTTAAGGAGCGTCTCCACCCTCATCGTTCTGCCCGGACGCTGAGGTCCAGCGCCGAGGGCCTTCTGGCGGTTCCCTCATTGCGAGAAGCAAAGCTACAGGGAACCAGGCAGAGGGCCTTCTCGGTGGTGGCGCCCGCCCTGTGGAACACCCTCCCATCAGATGTCAAAGCGATAAATAACTACCTGACATTCAGAAGACATCTTAAGGCAGCCCTGTTCAGGGAAGTTTTTAATCTGTGATATTTTACTGTATCTTTGGTTTCTATGGAAGCCACCCAGAGTGGCTGGGGAAACCCAGCCAGATGGGCGGGGTACAAATAATAAATAATAATAATAATAATAATAATAATAATAATAATAATAATAATAATTCTTAAGGATTGTTTCTGTTGCTGCTGCCAGCAATTGGCTGAGCCAGGGCTATCAACTGTCTGCTTGAAGTGCCCTCTCTGACTGCATGAAGCCCAGACAGCCCCGTGGTTCTCCCCGGAGCTGAGGGCGATGAACCTGAGACAGCTAGAGCGCTGGTGGCAGAAACCTCATTTTGAATCAGACCAGGCACGGGTTAGAGCTCACCGTTGAGGCTACCAAGTGGTGATGGCGATGGCAAAGAGGACTTTCTTCACCGCCTCTATTGCATCTGCATAAAATAGCAGAAGGAGAATCTTTCAGGTGGTTCACAATTTAACAGAACCACCTTTGTCATCGGGCCCTGATAAAGACCCCAAGATCTCCTGAAACGATTTTGCAAAGGCTTTTTTGCAGATAAAGTCGCTCAGATTTGGAAAGAGGTAGACTACACCATGGGAGCAAGGCCGGGGAGGGAGTTTGCTAGAGTCCTGTCTAGTCAAGTTGCTGAACAACTCCAGGCACGCCTGGAGGATGTGGACCATTTGGATCCCTTCCAATCGGGATTCAGGCCTCATCATGCAACTGAAACCATCTTGGTTATGCTGGTTGATGATCTCTGGTGGGCTATGGACAAAGGTGAAAGCTGTTTCCTAGTTCTGCTGGATCTCTCAGCAGCCTTTGATACCATCGACCATAACATCCTTCTGGACCATCTTGAGGGGCTGGGAGCATTGTTATACAGTGGTTCCGCTCCTTCCTCCTGGGCCGTGTTCAGAAAGTGGTGTTGGGGGATGAGTGTTTCAGACCCCTGGGCTCTCACTTGTGGGGTGCCTCAGGGTTCTGTCCTCTCCCCCATGCTTTTTAACATCTACATGAAGCCGCTGGGAGAGATCATCAGGGGGTTTGGGCTGGGTGTTCACCAGTATGCAGATGATACCCAGCTCTATATCTCTTTCAAATCAGAACCAGTGAAGGTGGTGAAGGTCCTGTGTGAGTGTCTGGAGGCGGTTGGAGCCAAAGATTCTTATGCACAACTGTAGAGTGCACACATGAGGATCCCTGCTCATTCACTCACCTGGAGGACCCCAGGTGTGGAACATGTGCCTTGTTTGTGGGTTTCCCAGAGGTATCTAGTTGACTCCCATGGGAATCACTGTGCAAAATATCATCCACTGAGTAGATGTTCACTCCATAGCACAAACTTTTGAATAAATATATTTCTTAATTCCAAATACCTCATCTTCTCCTAGACCATCTTCAGTCATGTTGGATGGAATTTTCTTTGGAATTGTGATATCCAGAAAGGTTTGACAATCTGGAGAAGAAGAAAAATGCCAAGAAGTTAATCACCATTTAATGTCTATAAGGCGCAAATGTCACAGCACCGTAAGACACCTAAGAATAACATCCAATCTCATTCAGTTGCACATTCTGAATTCGCTGAGAAATGGCTGAATCCCACATGAAAACAGTGAGTCTGGAAACACCCTTAATGATATGTGGCAGGTTACACCCACAACAAACTAGTCTGGAGAGGTCCTTAGATTATATTGCAGCCTGCTTGGGAGCAGGGGGCTGTCTCTCTAGAAATTCTATATACATTTACGCCATATAAATTAGGATTGCTAACCGAATAGAGACGTAGGAAAGACAAACCCTTGTGCCTTTATCAGTACCATTCTTCTTTTTTCTATTTTCCCCCATTTATTAAATACTTACAACATATAATGACATTGTACACAAGTAATAAAATATCCCACTCTAACCCAGAAAGCAATACATCCAAAATAATATCCAAATACAGTAACACAATAAGTTCTTATCCCAGACTACCATTTGTATAGAAAGCAATAAACAGTTTGTAAACCAGAAACTTTTAGACTGTTTTCATTTCTAGCCATATGCATAACAAAGCTATACCAATCTGTTACAAGGAAACCTTTTCAAACCTTATGCCAATTTTATTTATGTTGATTTTCCCACAAGTGCTATTTGCCATATTTTATTGTACTAATTTGTCAGAGATGCACCCCACAACTTCTTTTAGCATCTCATTAGGAGCCACTATTAAAAGAAAACTTAGAGGTTTGAGCTGTACATTGACATCATTGCCTGTGAGAAGACTTGAGGAGCATCAGCTCTGGACATTTTGAGATATATTTTGACAAATACTTTCCTCCCAGAACTTTCCCACCTCAAATATGTGTTGATATGAGCCTAACTCCCCACAACAGTTTGGTGAGCGGGAGTAAAGAAAATGGGCTGATTGTACTGGTGTGAGATACCATTTTTGCACTATTTTAAGTGCTACTTTGCCAACAAAGGTCCGTATAGTTAAAGCTATGGTTTTCCCAGTAGTAATGTATGGAAGTGAGAGCTGGACCATAAAGAAGGCTGATTGCCAAAGAATTGATGCTTTTGAATTATGGTGCTGGAGGAGACTCTTGAGAGCCCCATGGACTGCAAGAAGATCAAACGCATCCATTCTGAAGGAAATCAGCCCTGAGTGCTCACTGGAAGGACAGATCCTGAAGCTGAGACTCAATACTTTGGCCACCTCATGAGAAGAGAAGACTCCCTGGAAAAGACCCTGATGTTGGGAAAGATGGAGGGCACAAGGAGAAGGGGACGACAGAGGACAAGATGGTTGGGCAGTGTTCTCGAAGCTACCAGCATGAGTTTGACTAAATTGCGGGAGGCAGTGGAAGACAGAAGTGCCTGGCGTGCTCTGGTCCACGGGGTCACGAAGAGTCGGACACGACTAAACGACAACAACAAGTGCTACTTTTCCCTTAAGGGAGAAGGGCCCTGGGCCAGGGGTAGGTTCAATCCCTGACATTTCCAGGTAGGATTGGGAGAGATTATTGCCCGAAATCCGGAAGAGCTGCTGCCAGTCAGTGTGGACAATACTGAGCTACATGGACCAATGGTTTGACTCGGTTAAGGCAGCTTCCTGGGTTCCTATGTTTCAAGGCAGAGACAGATTTTAAAGGACATTTCCTCCACACTGAGGTTGACCCCTCTTCCTAGATAGTAATCTGACAACTAGATACCCACATCTGCCTTAAACCATCTGCTGTACCCATCTCTGTTAGGATGCCTATGTGTTCTGTGTGGGGCTTCCCTACCTGCTCGCAGACTGTCTCGCCGGAGTGGTGCATGCTCTAGTTATCTCCCACTTGGACTTCTGCAACGTGCTCTAAGTGGGGCTACCTTTGAAGGTGACCTGGAAACTACAACTAATCCAGAAGACGGCACCTAGGCTGGTGAATGGCAGTGGCCGCCAAGACCACATAATACTGGTCCTGAAAGACCAGTATTGGCTCCCAGTACGTTTCTGAGCACAATTCAAATGTTGGTGCTGGCCCAGTATACCTGAACGCCCTCCCACCAGATGTCAAAGAAATAAACTACCAGCTGACGTTTAGAAGACATCTGAAGTCAGCCCTGTTTAGGGAAGATTTTAATGACTGATGTTTTAATGTATTTTTAATCTTTTGTTGAAAGCTGTCAGTCAGTGTGGACAATACTGAGCTACATGGACCAATGGTTTGACTCGGTTAAGGCAGCTTCCTAGGTTGCTATGTTTCAAGGCAGAGACAGATTTTAAAGGACAGTTCCTCCACACTGAGGTTGTAATCTGACAACTGGGTACCCACATCAGCCTTAAACCATCTGCTGTACCCATCTCTGTTAGGATGCCTATGTGTTCTGTGCGGGGCTTCCCTCGGGACTGAGCTGGAAGCTGCAGTTAGGGCAGAATTCTGCAGTGCAATTGCTGACAGGAGGGCGGCCTGGTCAGCATGGAGTGTCTGCACTCAGAGATTGGCACTGGCCAAGATCAAGGTAAAGCCCTTAACAAATAGGGACCCAGATTCAGGTAGGTAGCCGGCTTGGTCTGATGCAGTAGAAATATATATATAAAATAATAAAATTGTCCAGTAGCACCTTAGAGACCAACTAAATTTGTTCTTGGTATGAGCTTTCGTGTGCATGCACACTTCTTCAGATAGGGACCCGTTTACCTGCAAAACCTGCCCCACTTGTGCCCAGGGGGCCATTTTCATGGGTGGAGTTGGTGCCACGTGTTGCTCAGCGCCTGATCGTTTCGTGTGGCAGCACCTGCCCTTGGGAACTCCCTGCCACTTGAGATCAAGCAGGCGCCTGCGCAAAGCGTTCCCTGCTCAGAGACGCTTAGAAAGCTGAGGCAACCCGTTTTAGTATATTAACTTTTGTATGTTTTGAAGCAAGGTTGTGATTTCTTCTCAGTGCTTTTATCTTTTGGTAAACCCCGTTGAGGGTTTTTAAACAACCAGGCGGCGTGTTCATTTTGTGATCGACAGCTCACAGGTGCTCGGGCCTTTCTCAACCTGGGGTCCCCAGGTGTTTCTGGACTACAACTCCCATCATCCCCTAGCTAGCAGGCCCAGAGGACAGGGATGATGGAAGTTGTAGTCCAACAGCGCCTGAGGGCTTGTCCAGTCCGGGTCCCTAAACGGGGCGCGCGCGTGAGGGAGCCCGCCCTCACTCACCGAGGCCGGCGAAGAAGAGGAGCAGCGCCGCCGCCGCTACCAGCTTCATGGCGACGCGGCTGCCCAGCGCCTTCTCCGCTTCGCTCTGCGCCCGCCCGCTCTAACGGTCCCGCCTGGAACCGAGGCCCGCGCGGCGGCTGGCGAGCTTCGCGCGCGCCTCAAGGCCAGACCGAGACGGCCGCCCGGCCGCCCTCCTTTGCCGTGGCGGCGGCGTGTTCCTTGGCGAGGAGGGCCAGGGATCCTCCCGGTCAGAGGGCGAAGGGACGGGGCCCAGCTGGACTTCGACTTTCCTTCCCCGCGCTCGCTCGCTCACTCACTCACACGTGCGCGCGCACACACGTGTCTTTTGTGCCAACCCCAACCTGCAAGAGGGCGAAGGGACGGAGCCCAGCTGGACTTCGACATTCCTTCCCCGCGCTCGCTCACTCACACGTGCGCGCACACACATGTCTTTTGTGCCAACCCCAACCCATGTCAAAAGAGACCAAGTGACCACGCGTCTCGAGTTCCGTGGGGTTGACTCCCGTGCCCATAAAGGGCAGCTAAATAGTGGTATTTCGGTATTTTATTGTTGTGAACCACCGCAAGAACTTTTGTCATTGCACGTCGTGTAAATATTCTGAATAAAACCGACTCGGGACAGCGCCCCGACTGAGGGAAGCATCACGCACACAAAGCAGATAGACAGATAGATATTCCCATACTCTACTCGCCCTTCTTGCTGTTTTCTTTAAACCAGGCAGCACTGCAAAGCCTTTCACATACTCCTCAGTAATGAAGCACACTCCCACAGCCCCAATTTAAAATAAAGGTTTACTCAGTGCATTTGACTTCAGCTCCCCTTTATGTGCAAATGGCAGCATTGCTGAGAAATACACCAATAAAGTGTTTTGAGCACACTAGAAATGTCTACATGTTACTGAGTACGATTGTGTCAAAGAGCCAACCTTTCCCATCCACCAGCAAATTCGTAGCTGGTTTCAGTAAAAACTGATTGGTAAGTTTTAGCAGTACTGTACAGTATACAGTTTAGCAAATATCAGGGAGACCACAATAGTTCAAGGATTTTATTTTATTTTTTTTTAAATTTTTATTGGTTTTAGAAACTTTTTAAACAAAAAACAAACAAACACCAAAAATGACAAACATACACGTATAGTTTCAAACATATTTTCATAAACTTCTTTCCTTTGACTTCCCCATACCCCCCTCTCTGCATCCCAATGTCCAAAGTTCAACTAGCAACTCCCAATTGTTATTTTCCAATCTCTGTCTTCTTAGTCCTTTTTTACATTTCTAACCTTATATCCCTGTATCCCTTTGTTTCTGGAAACCACAACATTTTAGCATTCATTAAGTTTATAGTAGTCCTTAAGATAACTTTTAAATTTTCTCCATTCTTCTTCCACCGTCTCTTTTCGTTGGTCACGGATTCTGCCTGTCATCTCGGCCAATGTCATATAGTCCATCACTTTCATCTGCCATTCTTCCAAAGTGGGTAGATCTTGGGTCTTCCAATACTTTGCGATGAGTATTCTTGCTGCTGTTGTAGCATACATAAAGAAAGTTCTATCCCTCTTTGTCACCAATTGGCCGACAATGCCCAAGAGAAAGGCCTCTGGTTTTTTCGAGAAGGTACATTTGAGTACCTTTTTGATTTCATTATAGATCATTTCCCAGAAGGCCTTAATCTTCGGGCATGTCCACCAAAGGTGGTAGAAGGTACCTTCAGTCTCTTTACACTTCCAACATTTGTTATCGGGCAGATGATAAATTTTTGCCAGCTTGACTGGGGTCATGTACCACCTGTAAATCATTTTCATTATGTTTTCTCTTAAGGCATTACATGCCGTAAACTTAACACCGGTGGTCCATAACTGTTCCCAGTCAGCAAACATAATGTCATGACCAATGTCTTGTGCCCATTTAATCATGGCTGATTTCACCGTTTCATCCTGTGTATTCCATTTCAGCAACAAGTTATACATTCTTGATAAATTCTTAGTGTTGGGTTCTAACAGTTCAATCTCTAGTTTTGATTTATCCACTTGAAAGCCAATTTTCCTGTCCTGTTTGAAAAGCTCCATTACTTGGTAGTATTGAAGCCAGTTTTGTACTTTATCCTTCAATTTGTCATAACTTTGTAATTTCCACTTATCTCCATCCTGTTCCAAAATTTCCCAATACTTCGGCCATCCGACCTCCATATTGAGTTTCTTTACTGCTTTAGCCTCGACTGGTGACACCCATCTAGGGGTTTTGTTTTCCAACAGATCTTTATATCTCATCCATACATTAAACAGTGCTTTTCTAACAATGTGATTTTTAAAGGCACTATGCTGCTTAATTTTGTCATACCATAGATATGCATGCCAACCAAAAACATTATTAAAGCCTTCCAGATCCAAGATGTCTGTGTTCTCGAGGAGCATCCATTCCTTCAGCCAGCAAAAAGCTGCTGCCTCATAATACAATTTTAAGTCCGGCAGGGCAAACCCCCCTCTTTCTTTAGCATCTGTCAATATTTTAAATTTAATTCTGGGCTTTTTGCCCTGCCAGACAAATTTCGAAATATCTTTCTGCCACCTCTTAAAACATTCCATCTTGTCAAGAATCTGCAAGGTCTGAAACAAAAATAACATTCTAGGCAATACATTCATTTTGATCACTGCAATTCGGCCTAACATTGACAATTTCAAATGTGACCATATTTCTAGATCTCTTTTGATTTCTGACCAACATTTTTCATAGTTGTCCTTGTACAAATTCAAATTTTTAGATGTTAAGTATACCCCTAGGTATTTCACCTTCTTAACCACTGTCACAATAGTTCAAGGATTTTATTATTGCAACTGCAGACATATATATGCAAACACTGTTAAAGACTTCTTTTTTGGCAAGAATTATGAAGAAATTTACCAAATAAGCATATGCTGAATATTTGCCACCATGTGGGAATTATTCTTAGCATAATTTAACAAAAGTGTTTCATTCTCTGAAGCTATTGTAGCCGATGTATTTTTGTAACGGTCCTTGCACATTATGAAATTCTATGATTCTCACCATGCAACAATCTTCATCCGCTCTTCTTTTTAAATAGATTATCTGTGGCTGCATGGTCTTTTCCTGGTTGGCACCAGGAGACCATGGTTGGCACCACCAACTCTTGATTCCGGGTGTAGGTTGGATTTGGCTTAGGCACTGGAGGCCTGGAGGAGGGCTGGCACATGACAGAGTGGAGCCCAGGATTACTGGATCTGCCCCAAGACACAGGTCTACATGGATGACTGTGCCTTCTGTCAAAGACCAATTTTCATCTGCTCTTCTTTTTTAATAGATGACCATGTCCACTCTGTGGGTGCAGGGTCTATTCCTATTTGCCACCGTGCGAACCAATGCTGAGGGAAGAAAGAAATGGGACCATTATTACCAAGATGTTTTCATGGGAATGGATGATAACCATCCATGTCCCAAAAGCGTAAAGCTGATGAAGGATTACGTATTTCCAGAAAGAAGTCTGTTTAAACACATATACTCATGCAAATTTAAATAAGTGGCTTTGTTTATACACCAGGAAGCATCATATCTCCAATATGGGCATTGGATTTTTTGTAATAGGTCCCAGAGCTTAAGAAAGGAACTGATCATCCTGAACACTAGGGATGGGGAACTCCAGCTCCCATAAGCCCCAAGCAGTATGACCTGAGATTATTTAATTTATACCCCACTCTTCAGCCTGAAGAATCCCAGGGTTGTATGCAACAATTCATAAAATAGTGCACGTTGATACAAAGGTAATAAAAGCAACAATACCGGTACATGAAGTAGTAGTAGTAGTAATAATAATAATAATAATAATAATAATAATAATAATAATAGAAGGATGTGAGTTCATATTCAACAATATCTGGAAGGTCATAGGAACTCTCTGATAGCCTTAGAGTAACTGAAAGAGAACGACGTTTTAGTGTTGCATCTGATTAAAGAACTCAATGCAAAAGAAAAGAAAAAGAAAAGGACACCTCAATGCTCGCTCTTGCTGAGGTTCTGCTCCTTTCAGCAATGGGGCCTCCAGGAGGTGGAAGGAATGATTTTACAGGTATGATGTCAGATTAAATGCAATAGGACAGCCTTTCTCAACCTTGGGTCCCCAATACTGTTGGACTACAACTCCCACCATCCCTAACTAACTAGTGGTCAGGGATGCTGAGAGTTGGAGACCTACAACCTCTGACGTGACATGGCCTTGCCACACCTTTACCAGCAGTTTCAACTATCTGCCTGGGGTTACCAGAAGGAATGGCAAAGCTGCATTGAGACTTACTGTCTTCCTTTGTGTCTTACAGGGCGTTTCACAAGTTACCTGCCCATTATTTCCATCCGTGCCATTGCTGATGAAATTTTGGATTTGAGATTTGAGGCCACTTTTCTGGGGTAAATGGCCTGTGAAGAATGTGCTTCTCTTCAAGAAAGCACATGTTGTGGTATTTATATGTGCAGAAGCTGCTCCAGGATTTTAAACATAGCACATTACTTTAGTTAGTATACTAAAGCAAACAGTGATTTTTTTTCTTTTAAAATGTTTAGGGGGTACTCTCATTTTGACTCAAGAAATCACCATTTTATAGTTCAAATCAGGGAAAATAAATATAGTAAATGGACAAAAGTGCAAAGAACATGCATTACCTGAGGCTAGATTCCAACTCCTACTTCACACATTAAACGCT